TGCTAAACCCCCAAAATTGTATGGGTTGCCTAAAATACACAAACCAGACATACCATTACGCCCTATTGTAAGCCAGATCGACTCACCAACTTACAGACTGGCTCAACATCTAGTACGAATTCTCTCACCACTGAGAGGACACACAAGGGCATACACAAAGGATTCTTACCATTTTGTTAGTGAGATAAAACAACTATGTCTTGCTGACAATGAAACAATGGTCAGTTTTGATGTACAGTCTTTATTTACATGCCTACCATTAGAAGACTGCATCTCAATTGTAACAAGAAAGCTAAAAGAGAATAACATGCCGGAAGAGTATGCATTACTACTTAAACATTGCCTAACATCCGGCTACTTGCTTTGGAAGGAGGAATTTTACATACAGATAGATGGTGTAGCAATGGGCTGCCCAGTATCTCCCATTGTCGCTGACATATTTATGGAAGACTTTGAGGAGAAGGCCCTTCGCACAGCTCCCATTTATCCAAGGTTTTACAAGAGGTATGTAGATGACACCTTCACCATTTTACCAACAAGTAAAGTTAATGCATTTCTAAACCACCTTAACTCAGTAAATTACAACACCTGGCCGCTGAGCTTCAACATGTCAAGCAAGTTCTGCATGACAACAAGCTTCGAGCACCGCGCCTACGTCACAGTGACCGAGTGAAACCAGCCACAGTGGAGCGAGTACCTGCTGTTCTACCATACGTCAGAGGAGTCACCGACAAGATTGGCTATATCTTAAAGCAGGCTTCAATTAATACATTCTACAAGCCGCTGAAGAAGATTAGTCAGTTTTTACCATCTGTCAAGTGTAATATCCCTCTGCAAGATCCAGGAGTGTACAAACTTGACTGGTGAATGTGGGCTCTCTTACATAGGTCAAACGAAAAGAGCAATAAAAACCCGCGTGAAAGAACATATAGCTGACATCAAACACAATAGATTGAACAAGTCTGCAGTTTGTGAGCACATTTTGAATAGACCCAACCACTACATCAGGTTTGACAAACCACAGATCCTTGCAAAAGAACACCGATTCCTCCCAAGGATGATTCGCGAGGCTATTGAAATTAAAAAACACCCTAATTTCAATAGAGAAGAAGGTTGGGTACTACCATCAGCTTGGGATCCTGTCATCAATAAAATTAAATCTAGGCCCAAACGAACCACTACTGCAAGACAAGATACAATTAGCTCCCTCTGCATAGATCGGACACAAAATTAATAATTCAAAAACTGACGGTAGCCCGGGTTAACTATGACAATCAGACGTCTAACACCTCAGTCTATCCCGTGACCATGAACGCTGTAAAGGGTTCGAAACGTCGGGAATTAAAATTAAAAATAAACGCGATAAATCCGTAAAATTAGTTTCACTCTTTTCGATTCTTAAGTCGGAATAGTCGCAATTCCATATTTAAAATCATTAAGATGTTATGAAGAAAGTAACTCAGCGCATTCTTTGCTCATATTAGAAGTTCGTTGCTTCTTATTGTATTTAATATAAAAAAATAGATTGTGGAAAAAAATCAATGCTTTTAATATTTGGACTGGTCTCCTCAAAGTGAGCAAATCGGTAAAGGATTTATTTATTAGACGTCGATAAGAGCTTGAAAATTAAATAATGACATTTTGAAGGTCAATTAAGCAACCACTTTAGTATGGAAATACCCATACGGACGTTTGAAACGTTTAAGCTTTAAGCAATAAGCCTCAAAAATCGGAGCACTAAGAAACTTAGCATTCATTTTATTAATCATATAATTAACTACTCTGGCATTTAATTTACTCTAGCATATATAGTTTTTACTGTAGAGTCTATTTCTACTTGTACTAAATACACTATACTTGACTACGACTTCTATACTTGTACTAAATACAGAAGACCGTGTAAGATATTTCTTTCGACTGGTGTGTGTGGTAACTAGGGCACACTCGAAAAGACTACATAACTGTAACCCAATGGGTGATGATGTAGCTATATACATATATTCTGTATCCTAAGGTTGGAAGAAATTGCTACCTTAGTAATAATGCCACCTGTATGTACACTATGTTCCCTGTATTTTCTTTCTATGTGTTTCCTTGTATGCAATAAAGTGTATTCTATTCTAAGTCTAAAAACCGGCAGAAACCTTTTAACATCAGTTGAACTTCTTATCGCCTTCTCACGAGAAAAATCTTTGGTATCAGACGAGGAGAAGGTGAAACTGACGCATGTGCCGGGAGCTGTACTTTTCCAGTATGTCGATAGCGAACTTCACTACGAGATCGGCGAAGAGGTCGTGCACTCTTCGCGTAAATGAATTTCTCTTTCAAATATACGTTTTACCGACTTACTCCGAGACAGGGTAGCTTGTCAAAAGTAAAGCTGTCAGCGATATTAATGTACGCAGAAGACTTTTGATGTGTTTCCTTTGAGGGTGGCATTCTTTTAGGCGTAGAGGAGATCTACGTGGACTGTTGCCTCAAATCAAACCGTCTACCGATTTCAAACGAGTGCCATTTAACGTATATGAACGTATCTGTTTTTGTGGTTATATACACGCTCTGTAGACTAAACGGCTTCATATATTTTACCGTATGAGATGTGATTAAAAAGTAAAGTAACAGCCTATACATATCCCACTGCTGTGCAAAGGCCTCCCCTGCATAAGGAGTATTAGAGCAAAGTCCAGAATAGTAATATTTTTTTGTTATTATTTCGAAAATACTTCTTCACGATATTCTCCTTCACCTCTAAGGACGTGATAAGTCTGTAAGTAAAATTAACGATTGCATTGATGCCAGCACCGGGGATGGAACTCGGGTTGCTCGAATAAATTAAAGTCAAGCCGCCGGTCACTGAGCTATTACGGTTCTAGATGTGATTAGTTTCTTTTTAATAGTGGGAATAATCCAAGCTATTATATTTGATTTTAATAATATTCACAGTTATTCAATAAGTCAACCGTTAACCGTACATTTGATACTATAATTAAGGCTAACTGAACATTGCCCATGAACATCTAACCAACATTTTAAACAAACAATAAGTTTATTAAATGAAATCAATCAGTCGATCATGTAATTATGGGATACTGACATTAAATTTCTCTTATTAATTGAAAGTGTAATTACAGCGTCGTCGTCTGAAAACTCCAATACAATGGGCAGCGAAACAGATTCAAGTAGCGAAGACGAAAAAGAACTGAATTTGCAATCAGCTAAGTACACTAAGAAAATCAGAACTAGACCTGCATCAGCCTTTGCTAAGGCTACCAGCGATAAAACAAATTTAAACAAATCTGACGAAAAGACCGTAGGGCATTTTACAAAAGATAAACAGGTGGATAGCGAAGGGGAGAACAGTTTTAGTAAAATAATGGATCAAATTGACGAAGGTATGTATATTGAGTTATTTATTTATTATACTTAATCTTTAGCACTAAAAATGAACAAAGGCCAGTTTAATGCTATATTGTATTCTCTACCAGCTAACCCTAGGTAGAACAGAAACATAATTGCAAGGGCAGTAAGGTAGTGGTAAGTGCTAATAAAGATAAATATTATACAGATGGCTTTTCTAAGTGTATCCATTTTTTAAATTAAAATCTAGACAAATAATGTTATATAAAAATGATAAATATTTAAAATCACTCTTAGTAATTAATTACAATCATTTGAACTTATCTCAAAAAGTGCGTGATTTATACGCAACTCATGTATTTTACGCGCGATCATTCATAACTTACACGCACACCAGTTCGTTAACAGTAAAATTTAGGTATTTATGAATGACTACCGCATTGTCAACGCGTTCTGTTTTTTAGGGAATAGAATGGCATTTTTTTTTGGAAAAAAAAACTTTGTTTTTTTATTTCAATGAACGATTATAGTTCCGAGTCTGATCCTCTTGTATAAATTTGGGCACTTCTCAAAAAATCTCCCTGTATAATAATGAGGTAATAAATCTAAAAAATACATACATTTTAACTTACTGCCAAATGTTAAAGCTTCTGGGAATAATAATTAAAATTTTCGTATTATTAGAGATTTAAAAAAACCTTAATGGATATAAACTTTTAGTATGTTGTATAACTTAACTTATAACCAAGGATCGAATATAATTTAATAAGGAAATAGTTTAAGGTTTTAAACTTAACCCAAATGCAGTAAGCGGATGTGGATTTCTTAGATTCAAAATTTATTAGATGACTCCGTGGCGCAGTTGCCAAAGTATTGACTGCGGCGTCGGCGGTCGTGGGTTCGATTCCCACACGGGACAACTATTTGTGAGACCCACAGATAGATGTTTCGCATCTGGGCGTTTTTCTCATGTGAAATTTATGTTTGTAAAACGTCTTTACAACACAGGATTTTTTTTATGCGAAAAATTGTCAAACGAGCAGACGGTTCACCTGAGGTTAAGTGAATACCGCCGCCCATGGACATCTGCCTCCCCCTCTTGCTCCGCGACTACATTTCGGGTGCAGAAGAGTGGCTCCTCCTCAACCACCTTCTACTTGCCCCTAATGTCGTCTTAGGCCATATCGGGGCCCTAGGGCACACAAAAATTTGATGCCCTGATGGAAAGTAAAAAAAAGTGCATGACAAAAACATGTTTCTGCTATTATCTTATTTTTTTTATTTATTCTATAAACTTCGGTCGGAATATATAATATAGCCCAATTTTCAAAAGGTCGTCAACGCATCTGCAACCCTCGGGTGTAGCAGATGTCCGTCCATCAGGTGACCCGTCTGCTCGATTGGCAACTTTTCGCATAAAAAAAAATCTACTAAAAATAGAGGAAATTTTATAGTTTAAGCGAATACGTAGGCCATCTTTGAGAGGAAAGGGGCCCGGGGCACGGGTCCGTGTAACCTTATGGTGAAGACGGTACCGCTTGCCCCCCGCACTCTCCCAGCACTCCTCCTCAGTGGGCTCAATTAGCATTCTCAGTACGGCCCGCTCGAGCCACCGGCCGGCTCTATGCACCTGTTGTCTCCACATGGCTACTAAGCACCTCCACCCCACCAAGGCGCAACCCAGTACGGAGGTTAGTAGGATCATGATGGTGTTGTGTTCTAAAATAGCCAAACACATTTTAGAACAAACCTGTACGGATGATGTCGCCGAGCCCTCCACTTCTTTCGCGTCGATGCACATCGCGGAAAGGGAAGACGCAAAACAGTCCATCATAGACACCATCAACTCCTACGACGATTTTCGCTTTCCATCTCAAGGTTAAAATTAGTGACTAGTTTTTTTTAACAACGCCTTGTTCTTCGTAGCCTTTGCTTTTTTAACTTTCCAACTGCAAACGTCCCAGCTTCGCGTGGGCGTACATTTATTTTTTACAGCTTAGGTTACATTACGGAAGTTTTAGTGGGGATCCCTTATTTTTATTCTAGTAAATTTCAGCCTGTTTGTGTTCACTGTTGAACATAGGCTTCCACCGATATAGCCTAAGTTACCCAGGGATAATATAGGGGCAGGGGAAATGGCGGTTTAACTGGTATTAATTAATAACCGCCGCCCATTGACATTTTCAATACGCAGAAGTATAACATTTCCATTTCACTTTGCAGAGCTGCCCATTGCAACAGAGAAGACTGTTGCGTGGCCGTACCACAGTTATTGTGAAAGATTTTTTTTAATTCGATCCATTAGTTTTTGAGTTTATTCGTTACAAACATACAAATATTTGCTCTTTATATTTAGTACTAGCTTTTCGCCCACAGTTTCGCTCGCGTTGAAGCCCTTAAATAAATATCTAACACTTTTTTTCCACTTAAAATAATAGTCTATGTCCTTTCTCAGGCTCTAGGCTATCTGTGTACCAAATTTCATTTAAATCGGTTCAGTAGTTTTGGAGTGAAAGCGAGACGCACAGACAGAGTTACTTTCGCATTTATAATATTAAAGTATCGATTAAGTATAAACTTATTAGCAATTCGAGTAATACTTGTATGGTGAAAAACCTATCCAATGTTTGTTTTACTTAATTTATATCTTTAGTAGCTATTTAGTGTTTAACATATTATTATTATTTAAAGTATTTGTACGAACGACATATACGTCTTTCGTACAGTAATGATACTTCATTAAATTTCTATTTGTAAAACGCCTTTGACACAAAATGATCTCTACTCCTATGAAAGAATATAGTTACTCTTAACAAAGTTATCTTATAACGTTAGCGTAAACAGTAAAATCTTCTTTATATTATTATTTCTGTTTTATTCAAAGAGCACGATCCAACTGTTTGTACTTTTACAATATAATCGATAGATATACGTGCATAATTTCCCTACTTCCTATAGAAACGTGTGAAGCTAGCTATCGCGTGTCCACAGGCACGAACTACGCCGACATGTCCGAGAACGTGCGCATAGAGGACTCCGTTGCCTCGGAGATTTTAAACAAGACCCTGAAGTACGAGGAGCAGGAGTTCTACCGGCAGTACGACCTGATGAACAGCCACGCGGGCAAGATAGACAACAGGACGAATTGCATCATCGAGCACATCTCCGACCAGCTGGCTCACGAGTATTCCGTGAGTGATCGAGTTCTATTCAGCGGAGGACCACTTTTTCATGACTAACATCATCCATCCATCAAACACTCGTGAGGTGGGGAAAGTACAAATGCCTCTCTTCCTTTTAGACTGCATCATCTAGTACATCCTGCATAATTCTTTTCTCCTGATTAAAAAGTGCTTTATGAGTATCAACTGTTGATAAACGTAAGATGTACACTGCACGAACCGTGAAATTTATGAAGATGCATTATTTTACTTTAATTTGAAATGATTTATTCATGACTAGGCAATCCGCCCCGGCTTCGTTCGGGTGCAATGCTGAATTTTTGTTTTCGACATCGTTATTTCATCCAATAGAAACATCTAAAATTATCAGTGTTTCCCAATTATATTATGCATGAGAAGATAAGAATAGTGACAGACATAAAATAAACACTAGAAATAAGAACAAACTTATAATAAATACGCATATACTTATAATAAAATCCCACAGTCGATATAAAGTCTGCCGCTTGACCTATTTAAATGTAAAATAAAAAATCAATTAATGATTAAAGCATATTATACCATTTCGGAACATATCGACGAGTTTTCGGAACATATCGAGGCTAGAATAAGACTATTATACCTGTATGTTATAATTACCTGTGAAAAATGCAACTGGGAGAGCGCGCAAGCGTCTATTTGAATAAATATATTTTTGATTATGATGAATTATACATATAAACCTTCCTCTCTATTAAAGAAAACAACAAAAAATCCGTTGCGTAATTTTAAAGATCTAAGCATACATAGGGACAGACAGAGAGCGGAACGACTTTATTTTATACCATGTGGTGATGTTCTCGAACCAATACTCTATATTGTTTATAACGGACAACGTTACTTATACGCAAGTTGTTCAACAGTTGCCGGAAGTGTCCCACATTCTGGAGGTGCACATGGACGCCGCCGAGCAGAGATGGCGCGCCGGCGAATACGTCCCATACGCTCTGCAAGAGAGTCCACCTGACTCTGAAGCGGAGAACGAAACGACGCTAATACCCAGCCACGAGTCCACATTTGAGGACACCCTAACCGAGGAAGTTAGAGACAATGGCGATGTGGATGTGAACAAAGAAGCCGAACTGCCGCAAACGTCTGCGATACCAGAAGTAGGTGGGAAATCACCGAGAGTAGAGAATCAGTGTGGTGATTCAAACATTAGAACTGGTACCGAACACGGGATTGATAGCGTGGTGGCGAATGAAAACGATGAGATATTCGAGGATTGTGTCGAATACACCGAGTCGAAACTGTATCGCGCGAGGGAAGGGGTTGGAGAGGTGTTTGAACGTTCAGAGGAGACGTACACGCTGGAGATGAAGATAGCTCTAGGCGATGAGTAACTTATTTAGCAGTTGTTGCGAATGTGTAGAGTGCATTCGACTTCCTTAGATATAGCAGCACTTAGACAAGATCTCACTTTGGTTGTTAATTTAATTTTTTTTTGTTTTTGTTTATTTATTTTTTTTTTTTTTGTTTATGGTTTGGACTAAGCACTTTTATTTTTGTTAGATGACATTACCCGTTCTGATGTGCGAAATACTCCTGATATTAAACTAATAAATATACTTGTGAAGAAGGAACTCGTATGGTTAATTTAATTGTTCATTTAATTTTTTCGTTTACTTTTTGATGTGACAGTGGCATGTAACGCGATTTGTTTAGTTTTGTTTTTAGTTTTTTTCTTTCGTTAATAATAAACATTTGTCTTTTAGCAAGTTCTATTTATTAAGACTTATGGCAACACCCAGTATTCCTCCTTTTCATCGAAGAAGACAAGAAGGTAAAGAAAACCACAAATGTAACAAACTAAAATATATTTTTACTCCGTAGGTAATACAAATTCATTGCACCTATTTCACAATATCCAAATAACAGAAAAAATATGTTGGTCTATAAAAATATATCTCTCCAATTTATGTACATTTACACCAAACAGTTACATAAAAAAGTTATTTTAATTAACTTTTCTCCGAAGTAAAGTGGCCTTAAAAATAAAACCTATGTATGTACAATTTAAAACTAAACTTCAACGTGACATCTTGTGACAGAGGAGAGCGCGAAAATGGTGTAAAATGTAAAGATACATTTTTTTGTTTATTAAAATCGTAAGCGATTGTTTACAAAATTCTTTTTCAATATTATTTTTTTCTGTAACTAAAATAAAATTGATAATAAACAAACCTATTATATAGAATAACTTGATCGAAATTTCATTTTACAGAGCCAACGTAATATAAAAGATAGTTCGGAAAGGTTCTTTCTTTATTATTGCTTTGCAGTAAACCTAGTCTTATATGTGACAACACACTTATAAAGAAGTGGACAGTAAAATTATTTAATTACTTGTACTTAATTTAAGAATATTGTAAACTTCTCGTACATTGTTAAACACTTACAAGTATATGATTATGTACATTAATATTTACATTGGAAAATTTCACAAAAATGCAACAGGCCTAACGGGAATATTGGCACAATATGTGATGACGTAATTCCAATTACAATCCCCTTGCCGCCTCTAGGTGAAGTTAAATAAAATATTTGCTATGTTTATGTATTGAAAATAAAAAGTAACTCACATAATAACTTTTTGAAGATGTTAATAGTCTGTAAATGACTTTAAATAATTCCAATATCAATGTCTACACTTGCATTAGGATGAAAGTAATGTTTAGAATTTGTTATGTTTAATACGCTATATAATATAAAAATTGACATGGTTCATTAAAAATTTAAAAAGCTATTAGAACAGTAAACAATTTGCAAGAAAAAACAATTGTAAATTGTTAACACTTGAGTGCAGTTCGTTTTATATATTAAGCAACAACAGATAAATATGCTTCCGAGTATGCTTTGGACTGTTTCAGCGTGTTCAGTTCGTTTCAGTTACTGGCCGTGGTGCTGCAGGTCGAAGATCTCCATCAAGAGGGGCTCGATGGGGTTGACGTCGAGGTAGACCCCAGTGACCTCCTCGGCCAACTTCCTCAGCTCGAGGATCTTCTGGATGAGCTTGAGGAAGGTGGACTTGGCCTCGCAGCCGGGATACACGCTCTCCAGGTAGCGACGCAGCAGGTAGTAGTAAGAATTCTGTGGAACAAGTCGGTGCTCGGCTAGAGTCTTCTTAGTGCTCGGGGTAATCCTACCTCCAACTTGTTAAATGTATAATAAGATGAAAACTGTAAGCAAGTGCTCGGTGTCTGGGCATTCACTTTTTAATTCAATCTACTTGATAGACCTGAGTTTGAATTCCGTAAGCCGGTAATATTACACTTTTGCAATTCGTCTAATCATATAACCACTTTTGGATAGGTTAACAGAACAACTACGGTGGTAGGGCCACACAGCTACGGTGGTAGGGCCACACAGCAGCCTCGGCTGTTGCACGAATGGGCAGGCCCGTCCGGGTAAGTACCACGACCTCACAGAAGACCGGCGTAAAGTGGAAGTATGACAAATACTTTCGCGTTTCGCCTGGTGAGTGAGGTAGCCGGAGCCCAATTTTCAAAAGGTTGTCAACGCATCTGTAACCCTCGGGTGTGGCAGATGTCCATGGGCGGCGGTATTCACTTAACATCAGGTGAACCGTCTGCTCGTTTGACAACTTTTCGCATAAAAAAAAAAAAAAAAATCTGCAAAAGCCCCACGAATGGCCCATTAACTCGTGGACTCATTGGCAACCTAGATGGTTCTCAAGGGAATGGCTATCTGCTCGAGCGCGATGACGTCACGGCGCTGAACGCTTTTCAAGGAAGTCTGGGGAAGTAATCTGATAAACGCAAGGTCCACCGGCTCGAGCCCGATGACGTCACGGAGCACGAGGCGCCAATGTGAACGCCTGGGGAAGTAACCCGATGAGCGCGAGGTCCACCTGCTCGAGCTTGATGACGTCGCGATGCACCAGGTGCGGCCTGTCGGGCGCGAAGAGCAGGATGGCGCTGAGGATGAGGATGAGGTGCTCGTCGGTGCGCCAGCGCGCCAGGAACGAGCCGATGAACGCCTCGTGGCAGCGGTACACGTCGCCCTTCGCCAGCTTCAGCACGTCCGTGCGCACGCTGCCGAACCCGAACCGCTTCTGGCTGTGCGGCAGCTTTAATCGCATGCCAGAGTCAATGTCGCATGCTCTTCAACGTTTAGTATTATTTCAAAACTTTTTAAACTTAGTGCTAATATAATTATTCATTTAATATAATTATTTTTTGTTAATTTGTCATTTTATGTGGTATGGCCACGTAACCGTCATCGTTGTTGCACGAATGGGCAGATCCATCCGGGGAAGTAGCACGATCTCGCAGACGACCGGCGTGAAGTGAAGTGTTACACTTTTGCGTTTCATCCGGTGTGCTTTACTAAATGGGCGATAGTTATCGTTTAACATCAGGTGAACCGCCAGCTCGTTTGCCACGTTCTCACATAGAAAAATAAATGAAAACAATGTTTTCTTGAACATTTAACTAGTCGCTTAGTTCGTTGAAGTTGAGATTTTACCACCTCACCTTCCATTGGTTCCTCTGTCCGTCGTAGGTCATCGTGCTCCGAAGGACCATCATCTCTATGCAGCCTCCTTTTAAAAGCGCCACCTGTTGACATAATTCCAAGATGAATCATTCGTTATAGCTTTCAACCCCTGCTTTTTAATGTGAAATAAATATTTCGGGACATTTTTACGCAACATTATCAAGTCCCAAGATAAGCAAAGTCCTATGCATATTAGGAACCTGATAATCATACTTAAACGTACTTTTCTTTTGTAGATGAATACATATTATAGACATAAACACCCAGACACTAGAAAAACACTATGTTCATCACACAATATTTTACCAGAAGTGGGGATCGAACCCACACTCTCTACGTAAGATAGATTGAGTATCCACCACGCCAATTGGGTCGACGTAAAAAAGTTTTAAGTTTTCCTGAATAGTCTATTCACATGACGTTAAATAATTACCGCAACCCATTGGCATCTGCAACACCTGAGGGTTTGTAGGTGCGTTGGCAACCTTTGCAACTGTAGGTGTCAATAGTATCACCTTGGTCGAATGTAAATTTTTATATAATAACTGATGATTGTTGCAGGTTGTGGGTTCTATTCCCACCCAGGACACCCCTATTTATGACCTGCAGATATCTATTTTGTTTTGAGTATTTTTATAAAGTTATATAGGTTTAACGTTGATTTCCACAACTCTTGTCGCATATAGCTTTTTACACCTCATAAATGTTGTGTATAATATGTGCAAAAATAATTAAAATAGTATAAATATAATATTAAAATAGTATAAAAGTATAATAGTATAAAAGAAAAATTAACAGCCCTAATCCATATCGGGACATCTTTGAAATATTTTTGTAATTTCCTTGATGAAGCTTTCCTCATGATGGATTCCTTCACCGCTAATTGTATTTTACTATTATCTTTTTTTTTCTCTCTTATAAATGTTGCCCTTACTGTAGTACAACATTATCCTGTGTTGTAAGGACGTTTTAAATAGATAAATTTCGCGCGGACAAACACCCAGAACCGAAAAAATATATGTGGATCACACAAATACTCGTCCCGTGTGGGGATCGAACCCACGACCCCCGACGCCGAAGCCGATACCTTGGCGACTGCGCCACCGAGTCATAGTTCATCAAACAATAGTTCCTTTAGAGAATTAAACTCTTTCACCTGATCTTCTTCGCACATGTTCTTGAATGCGTTGATCTTCTTCGCCATTTTGATGAAGCGCCTTATTGCCACAGCCGTAAGGTTCACAATCGTTATCAATCTCGGATCGTGGTTTCCCGTCGCCGCTCTGTAACAGATAATAAGTCGTTAATAATAACGATTTATTACGGTGGTGGCCCTACCACGCAGCAGCCTCGGCTGTTGCACCTCAAAGACGACCGGTGTAAAGTGGAAGTATAATACTTTCGCGTTTCGTCTGGTGAGTGAGGTGGCCGGAGCCCAATTTTCAAAAGGTTGTCAACACATCTGCAACCCTGGGTGTAGCAGATGTCCATGGGCGTCGGTATTTACTTAACATCCGGTGAACCGTCTGCTCGTTTGACAACTTTTCAAATAAATGAAAAAGTTTATCAATAATCTAGTACCCACAGTAGAAGCGTTACTTAGTTTGGGACTAGAGAATGTTGTGTAAAAATTTATTTATAAATTTTCACGCAGAACAAGAGTTACTAGAGTTACTAGGTCTACCAGGTCGGGCGTAGGTACGATGTACGTGGTAGGGCCATAGACCAGGAAAGTATACCTTGAGTCCAGCGGTGCTAGCAGAGTCACCGATCAGCTGCGAGACGTCATCGTCGATGGGCGCGTGTAGGGCCTTGTTGGCTACGATCAGCTCGTTCAACTTTGCTCGCTCCACCTGACGACATAGAGTCCATTTTAAATAAACCCAATTTACCAAACTTTTCGGTTGACTGTTTGTTGACTGATTTCTCTATACAGCCTAATTATCAATAGTAATGCTGCAACTTTTTTCTCGCTTCTCTTACGTTTCTTCTGGCGAATGACATAGCTAGAGGCTCATTATTTCTGGTATTTTGTATCCATTGGTAACAATCCTCATTTGCTATCGGTTGAACTGCTCTCTTTTTGCATCCCTCTCAAAGTGAAAAACCAGCCAAGTGCGAGTCGGCCTCGCGCACGAAGGGTTCCGTACCATTCCGTAGAAACGGCAAAAAATCAAGTCTGTTGTATGGGCCACACTTGAATATTTTTTGATCGTATTTTTAGTATTTGTTGCTATAGTGGCAACAGAAATACATCATCTATGAAAATTTCAAATGTGCAACTATCACGGTTCATGAGATACAGCCTGGTGACAGACGGACAGACAGTCAGCAAAGTCTTAGTAACAAGGTCCAGTTTCACCCTTTGGGTACGGAACCCTAAAAACGTTTATGCAAAGCAAGCGGCATACCTCATTCAGTTCCCTAGAGGAGCCACTGCAAGCGTTCACCGACGTGTAAGCTTCGAACTCCAATTTGATCGCTTCACACAATATTGACTCCATTGAGTTGGGCTCTATTCTGTAAATACAACAATGTATTTAATAATAATAATACTTTATTTGGCATATTAATTACCCAAAATGAAGAAAAATACATAGAAAAATATGAACAAAAAAAAAGACATAAAATAAACCTATAATACACAAAAAGTATATAAATAACATTTTAGCAAAAGGTAATAAGCTCAGCTTATTCCTTACTAAAACTTTACATCATCATTTACAAAGATGGACAGCGGTAGTTGGCATATTTTCTTTAGTAAGGTCTCTATAATATAGTGATACTAGCGACCCGCCTCGGCTTCGCGCGGGTGCAATGAATTTATACATAGGTACCTTCCTCTTGAATCACTGTAGTAAAAAACCCGCATCAAGATCGTAGTTTTAAATATCTAAGCATACATAGGGACAGGAAGACAGCAGGATGACTTTGTTTTATGCTATGTAGTGATTTAGTGGTTTACCGCTGCAGAAACTTTGTGAATTCAAATACACGAACATTTTTGAAAGATGGTGTCTTTTCTATCTAAATAGCTAATTAATATTTTCTACATTGTTATTTAGCATTTGAAGCAATGCTTGGCGCATCTATTGTTATATCCTTTCCAGCATACAAACAATTTCAAATATCGTTTTACAACGATAATTCGAACGAGAGATGTCGCCATTGCTTTTATAAATTTTAAAGTTTTTTTATAGTGCTAATCTCTGCACTTAAGATTGAACATTAAAACATGTAGAAAGTGGCTATCAGCCGTTTAGCTCAGTGGCTAGAGCGTCAGGCCGCGAATGCCGAAGACGTGGGTTCGTTTCCCACAGCGGCGACAATCTTTTCGTACTTTTTCTACGTTTTAATGTTCAATCTTAAGTGCAGAGATTAGCACTATAAAAAACTTTAAAACTTAATAATTTAGTACAGACACATGACTATGTTAATAAAGAAATAAGACAACAATATTATACACTTGGATTCAAACTTATCTCAGTAGGTTAGACGTTTGTTCTAAATGTTTGAATCATGCATCAAATATTACAGATAAATATTAAAATAAATAAGTAAATTCTTGAAATTAAAACAGTAAAATAAGTATTGACAAATGTAATAACAATATTTAGACATAACATAGTTTGACTAATAATGAGTCACAGCGGGTCCTGATAACATTTGTGTTTGACTGAATGATGTAACTATAACCATTCTTTATTTTAAACAAGTTAATATTATTATAATGGACGTTTATGTGTTTACGTTTTGGTATGATTTTGGTGATAGATAAGAACTTGAATATCTTTTTTGTAAATACTGAGAGCAGACAAAATGATAGCTTAATCTTATCACAAAATAACAAGCTCAAAACTATAAGCTTTTATCTATTACGGTAGGAGCTAATGTTGCTGTTTCATTTTTCGTCCAGCTATCTTAAATCCAAACTATCTTTTAGTGGGCCTTTCGCTAAACCTAGACAGTAATATTCAGCTCAGAGGGATACCATCTTTCTACGGTTTAAATGTAACATGAAAGCTTATTAAACGATTCGGTGGCGCCTTCGCTAAGCTATTGGCTTCGGCGTCGGGGGTCCTGGGTTCGATTCCCACACAGGACAACTTTTTGTGTGACCCACAGATAATTGTTCCCGATATGGTTGTTTCTTTGCCAAAGAGGGTGGTGGTCCACAGCGGCAGGTCGTAAAAAACATAGCCAAAACTGCTTATAACATGATTCACGTATTGTGTCGATCTCACATAGGCGGGTAAAGGGCTGGGGGATGATGATGATGACGGAAGCTTATTAGAGTTTGTCATCTTTTATTATAAAATATTAAAAATTTACTTTTCTGTCTCTAGGACCTTCCCAAAATTTGTTTTATATGATAAATATATATTGCAACAGTGCATTTTGTTTATAATCATAAAGTATAGATTGCAGTTTCTATAAAAGTTTGTTTAAAAAATAAAATGAAATTTGTCAGTTCAATTCTGAAATATTAAATAATTTGTTTTAACTATTCCAAAGCTACATTATCTCAAATTAACATTTATAAATAAATTCAGAATAAATAGCTAAAAAGCATGTGCCAGTTACTATACAACCAACCATTTATTTATTTTTATTTCATGAGAATTTATTTGAATGGTGACAGACATCTTCTATATCAATTTTATTATGTTAGATTTGTTTATCCATGCAGAGGGGCAGAAAATAGAATTATCAATAATATCTTTCTATTTAAAACAATATGACAGTTAAAGACAAGAAGTTTGATTTAAGACACATAAAAGAAAATATAATAACCTTTCTACATCCTGCAGGATATCTCTAGCTTTATTTACATCGGGATTGTTACTTGTGGACGGTATTTCTTCACAAATATGCTGTGGTTTTCCATCTCTATATATTGCAGCATCTCCGTTTGTGAGTATTGATCTGTAATTTTAAGACAAGGCAATATTCAAATATTATATTCTGCTTTGTGTCACACAAATAGTTGTTCTGTGTGGAAATCGAACACATCACCTCTGACGCCGAAGCCAATACCTTGGCAACTGCACCACATAGTGATCATAGTTCATGAGTTTGCTGATAAATTAAGCAATTATTGTATGTAATAAATCAATATCCTGTTTTCTCCTTTTTTTTAAGACACATGTTGTGAGTATTTGTGTGGCATTCATAATACACCAGTCTCCATTTATGCAACAGCAGAATAATGCTGCATGGCCTAGCCTACATAGTCCTCACTAATATTATAAATGCTAAAGTTTGTATGTATGGATTATTGTTACTCTTTCACTCAAATAGTACTGAATGGAATCTGATGAAACTTTACAATAATATAGGTAATATACATAGGCTATAATTTGTGTGACTTATGTATAGTGTGATCCTTAGTAAGTCATTAAAATATTGGGTAGTCTTGATCAATAAGACTACATAATTGTTCACTGATAGATAGAATAGTATTTAAGCACTAGTCAGTATGTGATAAAACAAAATATATAGTTTTAAAAAGGATACCAAAAAAAAATACAATCAAAGTTAACTAAGACCATTGAAGAAACCATCAACAATTCCTTTTATTTTGTACTTACAAATGCACAGCCCAATTTTATGTTAATATTATTTGACTGAAGAGATTCTTGTTATTCCTTCTTTGGACAGTTCAGTGTGTGAGCCAGTAGAAGATCTAGACAATCACAAGTGCTTAAAACAAGCCTAAATGGAAAGAAATGAATTTTGACTTTGGATTTCAAAGGTTCAAATAAGTATTTTAAGATTAAATAGTGAGCTACTCTACCTTATGCTATTTTGTTTAGGCGGCTCCGAGTATAAACTGTCCACATTGTCACACACATAAGGGTCCATCATCCTTTGCTCGTAAACTGTTTGATTAATAACGGTCTTTTCATCTATTGGATATACTTTCATTGTGTAAGGCATTTCCATATTTTGAACTGGTACATATTGATGGTAGACTGGTGGGGAGCTTATTGAGTTGTCCAATTCATTACTTAACGGTGATTGCACAGTACTGTTGGGACTACATGTTGTACTATTGAGCACATCATACTGAATAACAGGTGGTTCTTGTACTGGACTATTATAACTAGCATTATTCACTTCGTTGTCACGTTTGAAGTTTTTGGAGCTTGATACCGCATCCTCTGGATCGGAGCATTGTCGTTTCTTCGCTCTATTCTCTTCGATTTTCCGCCTCTTCTCTGCTTTGTCCTCGTCGGACATTATGAACTCTTTTACCATGCCGATCGCCAAGCATTTTTCCAGGCGACATTTCTGGCAGAACCGACGCGTTACAACAGTAATCTCGCAGTTATTGGTGAACGGACACTTAAATTCCTTAGTGGCTAATGCGTTACGTCTAAAAAAGGCCTTGCAACTCTCACAGGAGATAGCGTTAAAATTGTACCCAAGTGCTTTATCGCCACAGACTAGGCAGATTTTCTGCAAGTTTGATGGCAGCTCCTTCTTCTGTGCAGTGACATCTTCCACTTTCTTGTTACCACTATCACCGTCACTGTTCATTTTTACAATAAAACTACGGTCTAACTAATAAAAAACGAGTATACAAAAGTTTATTTTGTCTGGAGCAAGCATTGTATACGTGCATCGTGCGACCCATGAAAGAGATAAGTCGCCTATGTAGGATATTAACTAACGAATTTCATTGGTAAGGAGATAATGCGATAATTTACTAAATTATAAGATAAATAAAAGTACAAAAAGTACACATTGTACAGGATGAGTAATGTCAAACTAGGGATGCCGAAAAAATATCGATATATCGATTTTTTTTAAATATATAAATATTTTGGGCCGATATATTTTGATCCGATATATCAATATAAAAAATTTAATATCGAAATCGTATCAAAAACGATATTTTTATTCAAACTGATTCAAAGCTGAAAAAGATAAAAATGAACGGAAAAAAAATTGTCGTCTATTACTAGTATTGTCGCGAATGCAGAGTTGCATTTTGTACTATAATTAACAAGGTATTTATACTACAATTTGATGCTTCGTACTTTATACTATCCATTATGAAATGATGAAGGTACAACTATCAAAGACAAAGTCAAAGTATATTCAATATAGGCCTAACTTAAGCTCTTATTGAACGTCAACAAAAATTTACCACCGGTTCACTAAACTAGACCTGCACAGAGAAGAACCGGCAAGAAACTCTGCGGTCTTGTTCTTTTTGTTATATATATATATATATATTAATGCAATTATACACACTTATTTGGTTATAAAATCAGCAGCAGCCAGGGGTCTTGCAAGTGCAGAGCAAGAGTCATTTCCAAACATCCTTGTCCTCTATGTATTCTTGGATATTATAGTAGGCCCTTGCCATTAAAGTAGCTTTTACAAATTGTTTGAAATTGTTTATACTTAGTTGTTATAGCCAATCTAAACCTCGGTACTTCCAGAGTATCACCACGGCCCCGACGCGATGTGGACGCGACGCGACTATATATATGAACCTATAAAGGTACAACATGGTATAGAGGTGTTCGGCGTATCGAACTACATATTAGTATGTTAATTTATAAATAGCATGCAAAATGATAATGGCATCAACTAATGTTTATTTATTTATTCTTTATTGAAAACACCTCGAAAAGGGTTACAAAGGGCGAACTTAATGCCTATTATCATTCTATAGGAGTCAACCCGGGGCGTGAGGAGAAATCGTGGTAGGTGCAATAAATAAAATTGCAATATGAATTTATGTGACTTAAACAAATAATAATATATGCATTACACATCATATAAGTTCCAGAATATGCAAGATATTATATAAAAAAGTTACTTTAATTTAATATGTAAATAAAGTTAACAAAAATTTAATTATAATCAAATTCTCAATAATTAAATGTCACATAATATTATATCGAGTTTTCATAAAAAAATTATTTGACGTCATAAAAATTATTATCATTTAACTATACAAGTAACTTCTTTAAATTGTCATTCAGCATTATAAAACTGAATATCAGTATAATACCGATATATCGATATTTTTTTTGAATTTCGACATCCCTATGTCAAACCAGTCAGTGTTGCCATAAAAATATTTTATGTTACATGAAATTGAAAAGGACATCGGGTGCATGTGAATTTGCTGATAGTAACTTTGAAACTTTCGTTCATCGGAAGAGGTCCGCGGGTTCACGAACTACGGATTCAGGTGGTGCACGAGGACGACACGATGCCTTCATCAACTTCGCTGCATTTCTGCGACCTCTGTAACAAAAAGCGCGATGGTATTATGCTTAAATGTAAGATTTTTAATATTGGGTTATGCCTAAATATTTAACTGTACTTTCCCACGGAATGGGTGGTTCAGAAAATTATTATTGCAGAAAGTTACTCTTTTTCTGATTGACCTCGATTCGTCTCTATGTGAACCAATCGTGGCAGACCAAAGATGCAAATCTGCCACTTTGGTAGGGCGACCAAAGTGGCAGATTTGCAACTTTGGTCGCCCTAGGCACATGAAAGATTGCCGCCCCGTAATCGCTGTAAAGCACAAAAAAAATGAAACGAAATAAAATAAAAAAACAACGAAAGTCCGTTAATAGAATGTAACTAATACACTACTTATGTATTTTTGTCAAAAAAATAAATGTTTTGCAGTAAGTAGCAATTAATGATACTCATTGACACTGAGAAACACTGAGTTCTGTACATACACAGACTTCCTTTCCTTAAATATGATGCACAAAACAAAAATATCGCATGACGAGAGGTTAGCCTAAATGAAATGTTGATGTTGTTTCATAATACGAATTTAATTATTCTATGGATTTACACAACATTTTTTCTTAGTACTTAAACATGATATTTTTTTAACCTAATCTTTTATACGTACGTCTCTCAGTTACTCTTAATAATAAGATTTTTATTAGTAAACAAGAAAAAGTGAGAGCTGCGATAGCTCATTGCCCGGGCGCTTGCTTTTAATTCAATATATTCGAGCAACCTGAGTTCGATTTCCGGTTTCGGCACCAATTAAATTGTTTATTTTAAGTGTGTATCACGTACTCAATAGCGAAGGAAAATATTGCGAGGAAACCTGCATGTTTTCTTAATAACAACGAAAAAAATATGATTATGGCCTATACTCTCTGTACAGAGGAGAGCTTTGCTCAACAGTGGAATATATATAGGCTGTTACTTTACTTTACTTTAGTAAATAATTACTTAACATGATAAATATTATTGATGAATCTCTACACAATGCTACTTTTGTGGAATAAAACTTTTTGTCTACCGTTACCTTTTTAAGTAGGAAAAGAGAACAAAACAATCATATGTGTTAACAAGAATTTAAGATAGGTACTTATTAAATTACATATTAATAAGTAAGTTATTAAAAGTGGCCATTTTTGATTTAAATTGAATTTTTTGATTCAACACCAATAGATGGTATATTTGGAAAATATCAAGACAGAAAAAGACCTACTTTTAGTTAGGTGCAGAAATGAGTTTTTTATTTGTTGAATTTTTATTGTGCTATTACAATAATTTAAAATTATACATTGGACCCTGAAATTACTATTTATAAAGCTTATTCGTAGTGATACAACAGTAAGACAGAGATAGATAGAGAGATAAAGACAGAGCGTGTGTAACAAGAACTATAAAGCCATCATCGAATGAAACAATCATCATTCTGATCATTCTATTCATCAATTCAGAGAGTTTAACAATCCTTTTAGCAACTCAAATAATATTTGAAAAGCCATTTGACTTGTCTTGCCATTTTTGAAACACTAATCATCGTAGAAGATTACCTCAACGATGATTAGTGTTTCAGAAGCCGAGCGTTAGTCTATTATGAAATACTAGATACATATTAAGCATATTTACAATAACAAAACGTGACATAATCGCAGTGTGCAAACAGAATTTTGTACAGTTTCATAATAAAACAAAAATGAGGAAGCATAAACTTTTGCACTGGTAGCAAAATGCATGGTATGCTGTAGCTAAAGGGAATAAACTTTTTTAAATTGTTCAATTTTATATGAATAGGTTATGTTTATAATCATGGTATATAGATAGAATTAAAATGAAATAGGAAAATATTAGACTAATAGGATAATATTATGTTTATCATATTTTTTTAATTAATGCAAAAATTAATTCAAAACATTATTCTACAGCTCATAAATTATGGTCAAATTTTTATCATAAATATGTATTCCGTACGTAATATGAGTGTAGGAGATAAGGAGTGTTATCAATACGTGTTGTCAACTGAAAATGACGGAAAAGCGCTAAAGTATTTCACGAACTTTTAATTTTTATGAAAAATATTGACGTTTCATAAGAATGCACACGCGTCTATGTGAATAAATATATTTTGATTTGAGTAGCTTAAGAGAAACAAAAATATACACATAAAAATACTATTATCTTACAACTTAATTAAGTTTAGACATTAAATTGTTATTATTCAAAACCTGCAAAGTTTTACACATCGGTTTCGATTTTTTCGTTGGAGATGATTCTAAAAGAAAGACCTTTCCTCAACTATTTTTATTTTTATTACTTATCATAGAAATTTTAACACTATCAGACATTTTTGAGGTTATACTTCTTTTGACGCGTTTGGATAAAAATTACGAGAGTAAAATTTTTAAGATGTGCGTGTCATCGACTCTCAAAAAGCGACGACATTAAACTGCTTTTTGAGATTGAACAACTTTTAAACATTTATCAATAATTCCAAGTTATTTAAAGAAACCGTTATCAATTGCATTTATAGTCTTTACCCTATAGAAGTATAACTTCTTACGTGGGTACATAAGTACACGCATACTTTTTTTTTTAAATATTGTTATTGAATTTATCTATTATCAGTAACGTGGTGTTATTGTGAATCGCTAAACATCTATCGCTTAATCGAAACAAACTTTTTCTACATATTTTAACGAAACAAACTCGATCGGAATCAGCAAATTTTATGTTTGGCAGCATTTGTAGTCAGCGTGAAATTAGGTTTGACCTCGTTTGAGTTTATGCTTTAAAATCAAACACTACACTAAAAGAGTTCCGCTTTAAGGCTTAACCTGGCCGCAAAGGGTAAATACAAAACGCGTCTTAAACAAGATCATTAAAAGCACCGATTAAATTGACAATTGCGAGGTATTAATTCATTTATTGCAAATCAGTGTTAACAACCTTATAGCTCCCCGCAACATCCCCATTCGTGCAACAGTCTTATCTGTTGCACGAATGGGTAGGTCCGTCCAGGTAAGTACCACGACCTAACAGAAGACCGGCATGAAGTGGAAGTGTTATACTCCACTTTATTAAAAGTTGGCAACGCATCTGCAAATCAGGCGAACTGCCAGCTCGTTTGCCACCCTTTCACATAAAAAATAAAATGGGTATAATAGTTAAAAAGTCATGTAATATATCATTTGTAGTTTTAACGTATCATCAATGAATTTAGTACTGAGTAGTCTTTTTATTTATAACGTACAAAAACGTTAAAGACTTTCCTTTATTTCCGACTTGAGATTAACATTAAATTCCGCGCTGATAGATATAAAATTTAATCTGACATCTTCCAGACATTTTCTGAATCGACGTATTTCATCGACGCACCGCCGCATAACGCTGACCTTGTTACGTCGAATAATATAACGTACGCAACGTGCACTAATATTGTTTTCTACGGCAAACCTTCCTAATGGGTCCCACGTTCAAATATTTGGTGATCTTCATAAAATTGCTCTGGATGTTCGGCGCGACGAAATCCGACACGTACAGCGTTAAAGTATCAACGGACCAACACGTAAATCTGGTCGACGGCAGATTCTTAAGTTTCACAGTCGACCCGAAGTATATCTTCAATAGCGGCGAGTATGATCGGTGAGTTTGTTTTGGACTAAATTAAAAATATTTGCCGAAAAATTTTTTTGTTAATAACTGTTATACGCGTCTTCACCCGCGCGGCCAAAGGGAATTAACAATGAGTTTTTTATTAGTGTATAATAAAAAACTTAGTTGACATTTATCATTACCTTTATTTTGGACAATTCACACAATATATTTATATATTATATATAGCCTATGTGTTATTCTGATGTATAAGCTATACTATTGTAAAGTTTCATTAAAATGTATTCAGTAGTTTTTGTGTGAAAGAGTAAGAAACATCCATCCATACATAGAAACTTACGAGTATATAATATTAAGTATATAATAAGGAAGTAAGGATAGTAACGATTTATTTAACTTTTTTTCCATCTTGCAGCAAACACTGTGTATGCATGGCGTCTTCCTTGACGCCGGCTTATCTGCGCATATCTGGTCCGTCCACCGCCCGGATGGCCATCGAAAATACGACAGTATACCTGGACGTTCCATCACCCGCACATGAAGACTCTTCTGAGTTTGCACTATCGCTGTTGACCAGGCGGAAGGTACGGAGATTGTCTATGACCAGCAAGCAATGGGAGAAGTTCGTCTATTGGGCGAAGAAGACAGGCTTTGACCTGGTGTTCGCTCTGAACAACGAAGCGAAGACGGCTTCTGGGATGTGGGACCCTAACGCCGCCCTGCAGACCCTGACCCTAGCGGAGAGGGCTGCTGTCGGTGACATCGTGTGGCAGCTAGGCTACGGTGAGTTTGCAAGATCGATCACATTTTAGGCGTAAGAATCATTGATTAAAATTAAAAATTAACGCGGTAAATCCGTAAACATAGTTTCATTTAGTAATGTGTAATCGCGAAAGTACAAGAAATTATTATAAAAAAAAATATTGTCACAGAATGCAGGAACCAGTCGATCGAGGAGTATTTGAATGACCTTGAAACTCTCCGCGTGGTCGTCGAAACGTTTCCGGCCGGCAGGACCTCGTCTTGGAAGGTGGTAGGGGGTGACGTCACGGCGTGCCTACAGGCCGACTCGAAGAGCGACTTCAAGGATTACGTCACGCTATCAGATGAAATGATGGACGCGATATTCCTTAACGGGTAAAATTATCGCTTCAAGTATGTTTGTCCGAGTACACATCCAAGCCAATGTCATGTGTTTGACACTATAGTAGGGCCACGCAGCAGTCTTCGCTGTTGCATACATAGGCAGGTCCTTTACGGAGAGTGCCACGGTCTCACATAAGATCGACGTGAAGTATAAGTGTTGTATTTATCCGTTTCGTCTGGTGAGGTACCCGGAGCCCGCTTTTTAAAAGGTGGCAACGCATCTGTAACCCTACGGGGTCGCAAATGGCCATGGGCGTCTATATCACTTAACATCATGTGAACCTATTGTATATTACGAAAATTTGTCCGTATTTCCTTACGATGTTTTCCTTCACTGCCGAGCACGTGATAAGTCTGAATAATAATAGTCTGACAACAACTGAACTCAGGTTGCCCGAGCATATGTATAAAAAGCGAGCGTCTAGTCACTAATCTATCAAGGTTATCTGATTACTTTTTTTTTATTTTTTTATGGAGAAAACGGGCATACGAGGGGGAGGCTCCCCTGATGATGTACCCAGGGTGTAAGTGATCACCGCCGCCCATGAACACCTGCAACACCCTCACAGAGGGCTCACAAATGCGTTGCCGGCCTTTTAGGAAAGAGTATGTGTAATGAGTGGGGTTCCCTGGTCGTAACTGTTCGGGAAGACCGCCGGCGCCAGCTGAATCCACAGAGTGGTTGTGCGAGAAATTGCCTTGAAAATCGCGCTGTCGTGGAACGCTGGACATCGCGGTGGTGTGGACGAAATTTTTATTTTGGCGCGATGTCCGATGGTGAAATTCAGCCACTGAGACCAATAAAGGCTATGTGTTACCACATCACATTATGAAAAAAAAAAAAATTTCGTCAGCATCCTGTAATCGCATCAGGGAACTCGATAGCCGATTCGTTATATAAAGTCGTCTTGCTAAACTTTTCAGGAACTCCTCTGCTCAGCAGCTAGAGAGGATGTCGGAAGGCGATCGGCTGAGGCTTTTGAGGCTGTTAAGCAGCAGCGATACGCCACTTTGGCTCACCGAGAAGACCCAGAGCCAGTACAACGAGATGGAGAGGGCGGCAGATTGGCTGGCCAGTCTTGGTTACTCCGCGAGGAACGGATTCTCAGTACACTTTCGGGAGCTCTCTGAGGAAGAGCTCCAGGAGCCGACGCTGGTAAGTGTCACTGCATAAGTTAACTGGCAGCTATTTTAATTAGTTTCTTGCATTTTTAATGTGATTCCTGCTGAATAAATGCCAAATGAGTCGTCAATTTGGCCTTGATATAAATTTGTCACAATGATGATCTAGGTGAAGATGCTGTGGTATCAGACATTTAAATACAAAAGTAGTTAAAAAAGTTTAATATTTATTCTTATATGTTTCATGTAAATCGGTAGAAGTAATATATAGAAAGATTGATGACACGGGTAATGTTTTCGGTCTTGTTATTGTTGTTTAGTTTTTTCACGAAAGTAACAAAAATTCGACTAAATTGCACCATTAAATCAGTTAACATTTATACAGTTTAATCACTTTTCGATATCCATTTTTAGGCGCGACAACTGTTCAGATTCACTTTATAGAAAATTTAAACAATATCATATACTATCATATGCTAATCTCCGCACTTAAGACAGGTTCCATTCCCACAGCGGCGACAATCTTTTCGTACTTTTTCCACAAGTTTTAATATATACTAACTTTCGAGACATTTAAGTTATGACGTCATAGCAACAAACGCATGTCTACGACTTGCTCGTTCCAATTTACAGAGTTTCTACATGGCGTTGTTATTCAAGAACCTGGTAGGGGAGCGAGTGCTGGATGTAGATATGACCGCCTCCCGGGCGACACTGTTCGCGCACTGTGCATCGCTGCGTCACAGGCCCGTGCCCGGCGCGGTGACCCTTTACGGGGCGAACATGGACGACGAGCCAGCGAGGTTCTCGCTTAAGCTGTCCAAGAAGGAAGAGGGTGGCGACATCATGCAGTTCATATTTGGACGTGACGGTAGTGGGTGAGTTTGGTTTTATGTGAAAATTTGGCTAGTGAGTTACGTCACCCAGGGATTTGCAACATCGGAAGGAATGAAAATGTTCTGCCAACCTTCAAGAAAAGTGAGTCCCGGTTAGCTCACTCACCAGATGAAACGCAAAAGTATTATAATTTCCACTCCGCTTACCTTCCTATACCTTCTTAAAGTTGGCAAAGCAATTACATACCTACTCGTATTGAAGTGGTGGATGTAGTCGGAGTGGATAATCACTTATCATTGGTTGAATTCTCTTTAACATGCAAGATCTTTGGGAGAGTGATAAATTTACCCATAAAATCTTCTATGTAGTATACGTAATCTTGCATTCATAGTTGTTATTTTCTTGTTGACAGAAACATAATCGTTAACGGGAGGCCGATGTATTTAGAAGGAGATATTCGGCCCGTAGTGAAACGTGTTCGACCGTACAAAACGCTCCTGCTCAATCTGCCGCCCAAGTCTTTTGGCTTTTGGGTCCTAGCCAATACTCAGGTCGAAGCCTGCCATTACAGAGATGAGACTAGTAAAAAAACAGAGCTAATTGAAGCAACACCCCTTGAAGTGGAGAATATGGAAGAGTTAAACGTTAAAACGAGACGATCAGCTGTAAGAAAACGTGATGTTACGGGTGTAGAACAATCTCTTGATAATTTTGATGCAGACAATGCAGATTTCTATTCTGACATTGAATCTGGTATGACAGGTAAAAACGCCAAGCTACGCAAACAAATTGAAAGTTTAAATGATGAGTTACAAAGCTTCCACGAACTCTTGACTACCAGGAAAAATGAACGGAAAGATGAATTCCCAATGAGATTCAAACGACAGGCATTCGATAGAGAAGATGGCAAGTTATCGAAGTCAAACGGCTTGAAATCTAGGTTCTCTAAAATAATTCACGAGAAGGATTTCAAATCTAATTTATTAGATAAATTGTTGCAATTCAAGAATGATAAGTTGTCAAAATTGGGGAAGGGGAAGGTAAGATACACAAAAAAGGGTGTCAAGCGCTCCAACAACAAAGCTTGTTCTGACGAATATTTCGACAACGAAGTAGAAAAGTCCACCAGGAAACGTCGAAGTATTGAAAGAGAGAGAACTATGACCAATTTGGATCCTAATATAAGAATTAAACAAGTTAGACGTAATAAAGTGTACGCAGAGACTTCTGAAAATGAAGTCGATAATGGAGAAGACGATTTCGTTGCTGGAAATGTTCTTAATAAGTTGAAGGGCACTTTACGACATTTTCCCGTAGAAATAGAAGAGAAAGTAGAGACCGACGGAGAAAGCGACTCTCCCGACGCGAATGAAATCACACTGAAGACGAAATTGTTGGACGACGGCGCGGTCATAAATATAAGTGAGAAAACAAGTAACGGACTATTGAAATCAACATTCGATGATTTGTTATCGTTATTGCATGATTTGAACAAACATTTGAACAGATTTTGGAACACATTCACTTTATTGGAGTGATGAATAATCAAGCTGCAAAGCTCAAATTCTAAAGTAAAACTCAACGTCACTTGTCAACTTTTCAAAGACAAACTGTGTCACTTGTTTGTAAGTTTTGACTGAATATTTTGTACATATAAATTTAAGTAGTTAATAAAATCCAGTATAATTGCTTTATACAGTGTTCACAGATCTTTTTATTAAATCTCCTTGCGTTTGTCAGTTTGTTTATCTTATGATTATTTTTTTTATGTGAGGAGTTTGCAACCGAGCTGTCGGTTTACTTGATCTTAAGTGATAGCCGCGGCCCAGGGGCATATGCAACACCAGTATGCTTCAGATGCACTGCCACCTTTTAACAAAGTGGGGCCCACTTACCGGTATACGGTTACCGAATACAAAACGCAGAAATTTTAATTACTTTCTTCTTTTATTTTAAAAACTTAATTAATTTCTCTCTAAATATCATTTCAAGTGACGTAAACTCAATCTCTGTAAGGCTTGTAACAAAATATTCTATTTTTCCTGTCATTTTAACGTATAAACTTTGTGGTCTCAGATTTTTTCCGGTTCTTCTTAACTTATTCAGTTTAGAAATTGATGTCACCTGTGTAGTAAAAATGGCTGTGTACTGCCATTTGGATTAAAGCGTTACTGATTTAGATACAGGTAAATAAAACAACGAAATGGTGGTACAATGTAATTTATTTATTATTTAACAACATGGTAGATACACCAATTTCATATTCACAGTAAAGTTTATATGAAAATGGCCACCTCTAAACTTTTTTACGTAACTAATGGGGACGATTAAATAAATGTAACAATGCATTGCAACATTAATTAGAGATAAATAAATCTGCAGCGAAAGCCTACTTTAAGTAACTAGATAAGTGATAGGTGTCAAAACCAAACTAACGCCTAAAGAGATAAAGTTCATAATCGCACGGCAGTATTAAAACGGCCTGATGTACCGCGAACAGAAACCCTAACTTACAATCAACAACAAGGTTTCACAAAAGCTCAATCTGATTTCGATTACCTAAAAAACATTTTCAACAATAACCTCATTTTTCGTTTTTCATTCATAACTCTAAGTTAATGTAATCGTCGTTAAGCTACTAACCTTTTATTATTATAACAATACAACATACCTATGAACCACGTTCATATCGGAATTAGTTTTCTTTTTATATCGCTTTACACACTTCGCCAAATGTTTAGTTCAATTTCGGTAAAATTGCGATTGTTAACACTAGATGTCACTAATATTAAAAGCTATCGTATTTAGATGTTTACTGCCAACTGTACGCCCGAGTAAGAAACATCCAATGCAGTTGGTAACAAAAAGGCGGGAACGCGTCACGCGTCTTTTAAATCTTCCCCGAACGTACCAACAAACGTAACGAAGATCCCACATCGATTAGTCAAACGCAACGTTTCACGCATAATCTGGGAAGGTATGAAAAAAAAAAAATCAATACAAAGAGCAAAAATTACGCAATCTGTGGCACTTCTTTGTCAGTTCTTTTGATAAAGTTCTTTCCACACTATGCGTGAAAGTACATATACATGTAACAAAAAGTAACAATGGCGCCTATTGGTGTATCGAAGCTCTTGTGTGTGTATGTGGTACTTGTGTCGTTGTCTCTAATATCATTTAAAAACTATTTCATTGAGTTATCCGACCACATTGTTTGGTTACAATATATGACAGCCAATCTATGGTTCCTGTTCGTTTTAACTCCGCGGCCCTTTTAAATGGAAACTTTTGTAATGCTCATAAGTATCACGGATTCGTGTAGGTCATTGCATATTAGTGTGGTATGTTTTAGAGATCAGTAAGTTAACTCCCGCATCGGCCAGACGGACTAAGCGTTAAACATTGAGCGTCTCAGTTATTAATTTTGGGAGTTATTCAACGATAGAAACTGATTTCCTTATCGTTTTCTCTAACTAGCTCAGTGCCTTCCCATTCGTATAAGTCTACACGCGTAGTCAATATTTTCTTTTATCGCTAACCTAGATCATGATACAACCTTGAATTTACTTGCTACAATCTTTTCAGGTCACTTGGTCGAAACCTTTCCTCCATACATACCACTATTTTCCTTTTTCCGTAGCTAGTAAGAGAATATACTTGGTCTTGTTAACGCCAATGTTCTACAATTTAATTGCTTTATTTAAGTGAAATCTATTATAAGTTAAGTGCAACTATAAACAACAAACTATAACGCTCAACAATATATGGTAATGCATTATTATATTTCTTAGCGAAATATATTGATTGTCTTGTGAAAATTGTAAACATCAATAATTCATTTATAATCTATCAAAAAATTTCTCGATGTTCTATAATTGCTTATTTGTTTTGTTATTAGTGGATTATATTATAACCTAATTGGATATCCGCCGAAATATCGACAAATATGTTTGACTTATCAATAAGAACAACATTGAAACTTTTAATAAATCATGTTAAAGGATGGTTGACGGTAGTTATAGAAGTGAAATTGTAATTTTACAGTTTAGATTGAAGTTGCCTACGTCGAACAAAGTCGTACCATCCTAAGTAAACTAACTGAAAACAGATAATATATCAATAGACAACAATAGTAGTAATATATAATTATTTCTTTTACCCTGAGCTCGATAGTCATAAGTTTTATGAAAAATTTAACTGAATTTTGTGTTCGGAGAAATTCTGAAATTGGTCTCAAGTCACTTAAGATCCTCCTAAAAGATATATACGCTACGGGTCTCAATATAAATTGTGAACTATATTTGCTTTTTCTTTGTAAATAATTTACAATCACGTCTACACGCCTACCTTGTATAAATCTCATAAAATTCGCTATATATTAAAATATAACAAAATCAAAATCGGCTTTGAAAGAGTGCTGCATTCTAATGCTAGCGGTTCGTACGGTCATAACATACAATCATACGGTTTATAGTTTGGAGATTGTAGGGTGGGAAGTAAATTTCATTACCGTTTTACGATCATCTAGATGAAATCAAAAAAGAGATCTTAAGTCAAATAAAACGTAATTAAAATATCCAAGACAATTTGATATCACCCAAATTCCTTTAAAATTGCGCAATTAAGCAATAGTATGCCTAATATATATATGTATACATTTATAACTATACACTGAACACCGAAAGCTTACATACAAATAGGGTGCTTTAGGAAGCGTCTAAAATATTTTAAGTTAAAAAGAAAAACCAATGATATAGAGAGAACGACAGAAACGCTCTTAGGGCAGCGTATACACACATTTATAAACACACATGCACACACAGAGAGATTCAAAAGTACACAGTTACATACAGATTTTAATTTAGTGACAGTTAGCAGTTTATTAACTGGAGAATTTTAACCCTTTATACCTAATCCTCGCTACGTACCAAAATAATTTCCTAATCCACTATAACTACGTGAATGAGAATCAACAACGAAGATTGAAGATACACTACTGATAGATTTGAAGATAGTTGAAGATAGAAAGGATTCTAGGGTAGCATAACATTATAGAATTGTAGATTTACGTACAGGATATAAGTAGAGGACATGAGTGGCAGAGGTGAAGTTTTGGTCGTGTTTCAATCATAGTTGGACCGTCGGGTCCTGGTACTTAAATCTATTATTGTTTATTCCGAACATCTACGAACAACAGTTTAGCTAGAAATGCCATGCACGTATAGTAGAGCTAACGCGTAATATACCATAAACCTAGGCTAAACACACTTACAAGGTGAAATTTAAATAACCTTAACAATACCAAGACTGAAGTAACGAGTCGTGACGGACGGGTCGGAGACCTTCTAACAAAGCGGCATCCATCGATGGTGATCTACTGAAAGACTGCTAACGAGACAGGCTTATAAGAGACGTCTACCGAAGAAAGATTTGAAGATAAAGAGAAATGGGAGAACATCTCTGGAATGCCATTCATCAGAAAATAGAGTAATGTTCTCAATGGAATTTTTGTATTTACATAAAAGAGCATCGAAGCTTTTTTTATTTTATCATTTGTAAAAGTATTGAAACGATAATTGCAAGGACAGATGTAACGATTTTGGTAAGGGAAACATTTATATAAAGTAAATTCAAGAAAGCATAGGTTATTGATTTTAATGAATAGTTCCTAAGAGAGATAAGAGAACGTAAAGCTTAAAATACATGATGTGCTGATTCCATTGTAGAGGTGTTCGTTGAAGTGTTCGAAATTTGTGTGAGCTGAGGAAAGGTGTACGTTACAAATAAGTTCAAATAGATCGTCGATGATATTTAAGTTAAAGTTTCAGAAGTCAAACATGGAAGAAGCTAAAGTGAGAAGTAAGTTAGGGCGTGTGCGGTCGGGCCGCGACTGGCGCACAGCAATAGTTTTAATTTATTCATATATCACAGCTTTTGACGATAACAAATCTTTTGCATTTGCAGTTATACACGTGGAGACAAATGTTCGAACAATTAGCTTTGCGGGCCTTCTCGATAGCGGGCAATTCGGATAACAACGTTCCCAAGCGGGTTTCATTCGATTCAACATATCCGCCGATAGTTCTAACATTCCAACGCATTAATCGCTCGAAGATTTCGCTCACACAAACATTATTAACTTTACACCTAAGCATTAAAACATCGATAAATGTTAGAATCGCGTTTACTACGCTAAATTGGTACAACGGTAAAACAACGACAGGTTAAGTGTTTAACTACATCCTTAACACATTAGTCTAAACGAACATCGATCTTACGTTAAATACATGCAGGAACAAAAATGACATCTATTACAAATCGGAAAAGGCGACGTATGAATTGTACGCCTTTGCCTATTCATTTACCAGTAACAATATTGTACCTATGTATATTTTCGATGTGGATTAAGGCTAGGTCCATTAAAGGTATGTACACCTAAACAGAATTCACTGACACGATACCAATTAACACTGCAGAAGCACGCATGCAAAAGATTGAGAGGCAAAAGTCGGAGTTGAAGCTATAGAAGGAGAGACAGATGGGAGACAGAGATAGACAGTGCGAAGAGCGAAAGCCACACGTGCGTTACCCTTAGCGGTAAAACACCTAAGTCGAGAGACACCAAGCCGATTGGAATTTGGATGAAAACAAATATTCACGACCGAATACATTGTTATTTCAATGTAAGTACATTCCGAAGACGGGAGAAATTTTCGAGCGAAGGAGCATTTCGAAAGATTCAGAGATCAGTGTGAACACGCGTGCTAAGGCCTAACCCCTCCAATTCTCTCATTAACATTACACACATTCTAGTTGTATTTTTTTTTATTTCCTCATTACACTTAAATAACAATATATCACAAGCATCAACATATAAAATTGGATCCGTCCCGCTTTTCGTCGACGAGAGGTTAGCGTGCGGCCCAGCGCCGCCGCTTTGTTCTGTCACGGAATGCGCTCTGTTCTCAACGGCAGTATATAGGGTCGCTCTCCACATATATTATCGCTTTCCATCCTATGAATGTATAAAAATATTATTGCTTCATTATCAAGCACCAACGCCACTAGCCGACTACGCTCCGTAAATGTTTAGAGTTGGAATATATATCGCGGGTGTTCGAGCGGTGTGATACGATCCATCGAACTGGCTGGGGGGGTTATTGGGTGGTGGGGTGATGCGGGCGGGTGTCTGAGACGTCGTAACAATCAGCCTAGCAGCTACATCATGTATTCGGGTTAATATAATAAAGATGGCGGCGGCGACGCCCCGTCGGCTCACTGCATGACACACTTGCTCTCGATCTGTGACTTCAACTCGTTGACCTGCGTCTCGATGGTGTTTTTCAGTTCTGGAATTGTACAATTGAATTTGATGATGTTGGAATTGTAAGGTTGCGTTCGTTGTTATATTTCAATTTGTAGTATGAAGTGATATTATAAAGGTGTACAATTTGATAATCTATAAAACAACTGAACCGAAAATGTCTTCACTAATATTAGTTACATTATCTTTGAGTAACATAGGTTAGGTTATAGTTTGTTTAAATGAGAGAAAGTTTTAAGTTCGAAACTCATTATTTACAATGGCAAAAATGTGGAAATGATGACATGATCGGATGAACAAGAATTAAAATCGTAGTCATAACGCATCACATTATTTATTCATTTATTTCACTGAACACTTACATAACTTTGTAATTTAAATCGTATTGCAGTTTTTACATGGCAGCTGCGAAATGAACAAATAGAAAAGAGGACAGCCTCTATCAATTCTTCCCTGACCTTTTATTTCAACTATGAATCTGTCGCCACCTTTCCAATATGGATGTACGACTGACTGGCCGAAAAGGTCAACCAGCGTTCCATTTTAGTATGAAATTTCATGCTTTTTCTTTGTCAGAGTTAGTCAGTCTTGATCTATATTACTTCTTTTTATAGGAGCCAAATTTAATGTAAAAGCGTACACGCTTTTAGTAAAAAAATTGCAATAATTTTTTATGAATGAATTGTTAAGTTTACGCGAATACTGTAAATTTATTTATTTTATAAAAAAATAAAAGTAGACGTGAAAAAATTCCGTAAAATTAGTATCATTTTACAGTGTTTTAACTGGTGACGCATACATAAATTTTACTTGTTTGTTAATCTTTAATGCCTTTATTATTTATTACTCATTTAAACTCCGTTAGACATTTTTTGTTAACACAGTGAAATCTCGTAGATTCATTTTAAGTTTGTTGTGCATAAAATGTTGATTATATATAAATAAAAATCTTTTTTACCACGAAGTAACTGCATTGAAGGATAAAGATCCTGTGGTAGGGCCAAGTGGCAGCGTCTTGTGTTGCATGAAAGCAGGTCCGGGAAGTACCACGACCTCACCAGCGTGATATGAGGGGTATTGTGCTTTCGCGCTTTGTTTGGGGAGTAAGGTAGCTGGGGGCTACTTTAGTAAAAGGTGGCAACGCATCTGCAACCCTACGGGTGTTGCAAATGCACACGGGCGGCGGTTATCACTTAACATGGTGAATTCCATCTTCTTAAATAAATAAAAAAAACACTTACTTGTGAACTCGTCTTGATCTTCAAGTTCGGCCTCCGCAGCGAGCTCCTCAGGAGTCTTCTTCTTCCTCATCAGGGGATTGTCTGGTTCGGATTGCTGCTGCTCGACCATTTCCTCTTTCTTGGGGATTTTATACTGGAATATAAAGAAAAGGATATATTTAGTATGCCTCAAATCATTCCTGATTTTGAATAAAACTAGGGACTAGTCTTATACTTCTTTTTGAAAAACATTGCCCTCACTTTAGGATAGCATTAACCTGTGTTGTAAGGACGTTTTACAAACATAATTTGCACGAGGAAAAACACCCAGACAACTACCTACGGGTCAGACAAATAGTTGTCCCGTGTGGGAATCGAACCCACGACCCCTGACGCCGAAGCCAATCCTTTGGCAACTGCGCCACGGAGTCATACCATAAAATACTCGAGTCATTCCTTGCCTGCTCCATCACTTCAAAAGCGGCCGGTCTCTTTGGTGGTGCTAGGGTCGCAGGCTTTGTTCCCCTCAATGGCGAATGGAGCGTGGACAATGCACAATCAGCGTCACAAAGCCCGCATTGTTTCCGTGAGCCATCCGCATCTACATAACAGACGGCGGGGCCTTCGACGACGGATGGGTGGTGGAATTTCGAGGGCGCGTCGCCTTTGTCGTAAAGATTACACGGCGCCAATGTTTATCGAACTGACGTTTTCCTTTAAGTATCTACGTAAATTTTTAAAGCTTCATCGAAAGCTGATCTCTTGGAAAACAGACTTGCGAAACTGGAGAAATATCAGGGGTTTAGATTCAAGTATTTTTTTCCAGTCTAGTATTTTCTTCGTTCGTCCCGTACCAGTATCGTTTAAAAACTGCACAAAAAGTCATCTCTGTTGCCTGTACAATAAAGATGATTTTTTTGCCACTGCGAAATGAAAAATATTTAAGTGGGGCCCCACGAGCCCCATTAAAATGTTAACGGCATCAATTTGATGGCTCTAATTCTCGTTGTCGATTGTCTCTACGTTCCATAATTGCGAACTGCCGAAGTGGAATTTTACTGAACGTTAAAATTAGCACTTAATTAGATCTTAAGGTTAAACTTAAGATTTAGTTCGAAATGTGAACTTGATCTGTCATTTCAAAATGTCAAGTAACAATTCTCTGCATATTACTAGAATAAAGTTAATAAAGGCTGAATATTCAAGGTCGGTATTTTCTCATCTCAAGGTCAAAAGATAAAGAATAAAGTTTACGAAAAGTTACTCTCTAAGGTGATAAAAATCCATCATTTTTTAAGTAGACATTAAGAAAATGAGAGGAATGCTTTCTTATAGGTTTATGATGTAGATGAGAATCCATCATTTTAGAACCCTTAAGAAAATGAGAAACATGAGTAAAATTGAGAATGTCACATATAAGTTTTCTCCTGAATTGCTAGTTCCGCGCGGCCTACGTACCGGGAGGAAGCCAGTTACGTAACACCGTTTTTTGGAAAAAATTGAGCCGTAACGAGACGCATTTCGTTTACGTTTCCGGTTGCTTCCTAATTTCCCAAGGGCCTTTATTACTCGCTTCGATCTTATATATATTTAGATCCACCCAAAGGATAAAACGGGACACTATTAATACGACTCCGCTATCTGTCTCTGTATGTCCGTCTGTTGCCGCTATAACAACAAATGCTAAAAAACAGAATGAAAAAATTTTTAGTGGGGCTCACATAAAACAGGCATGATTTTTTGGTCGTTTTTATAGATAATACTATATATATGCTGTTTATATTAACTGTATTTTTCTCGCCCGTTATATTGCATACTGTCAGCGCTTACAATTGTAATGGCAGGCGTGCTATGTTGGCGTTTATTACATAAATAAAAAGCGTTTCAAGGACTGGACCACGCCAGTAGGAATAGTCTACCTTATATAGCAAGTCTGATATCCGCTTATACTCATCGCAATCAACGCGAGAGCGTTCATTTCTTAATAACCAACCAACCATTATGAAATTCCTAAGCGGATAATTATTCAACACGGTGGGTTATCGATGGAATTCGTAATTAATGCGCTACGATATTACTCATTCGCTCGGCGCTCCCCGTTGTAATCTCCAATTGATTGGTTGTAGGCCTCCCCTACTCCCGCATTGGGGGTGGGATTTATTACAACCTTAATCGCACTCCTCCCGTTCAGCATCCCGTCGCGATCTCATTAGGGAACCTCCGTAGGCTAAGTGCTACGTCTGGACGGACGATGAACTTGCTACGCGACTTTTAGCCTGCTGTTTCAGTTTACTTTGCAATGAGGACGAAAGTGAAGTCACTTCATATTATAATAAAAAGTGACTATACATAATAATGTAGTTAATTACCTACCGTCTGCCATGTAGGTAATCAGCTTTTGTCACCAATATAACTTGGTGTTGATTTGAAGATACAATGTCAATTTTTCACACTAGCGGTATAATTGTTTGTTTTGTAGGTAATGCCTGTGTTCAAATTAACTGAAACATTATTAGAAACCTCAATATTATTAGATGAAGTAAGACCACGCAATAGTCTTCTCTGTTGTGCGAATGGGCAGTTTCCTTCCGGGTAAGGGTCGACCTCACTGAAGAACGGCGTGAAGTGGAAGTGTTACACTTCTGTGTTTCGTCTGGTGAGTGAGGTAGCCGGGACCCACTTGATTAAAAGGTGGCAAAGCATGTGCAACCCTACCGGTGTTGCACATTGTCCATAGATGGCGGTTGTCACTTAACATCAGGTGAACCGATAGCTCACTTGCCATCTTCTCACGTAAAAAAAATTCGGCTAGTAATTAGTTAAAAATCTGCATTACTTGATGGTGTCATAATATGATGGATTACACAATTGCCAATCGATCGTTATGTAATTATTTTTTTTTGGTTATGGCAAATAAAGTATTGTTATTATTATTAATTGTAGTAAGCAGAACTTATTAGTTACGGAAAATACACTTAAAACTCAAATGCAGTGAATATGTAAGTTAGATTTTTCCAGTAAAGCGTAACGGGAGGAGCGGGCTTGGAAGTAATAAAACAACGAATAGAAGCTTCATTCCTAATATTGGATATAAATGTGCCGTATAAATAAGTCCAAAAAGGGTTGGCGCACAATCTAATTCTCGAATAGGGTACGAAAGTGGAATATGTCATTGTCTAAACGCCAGAGATATGATTCGAAAACTGTCAGACGCATAAAAGAATGACGGCACGGGGTTTATATGTCTTGCGTTGCTAATGTCAGTGTGATAGACGGGCTGGCGATGCGATTGGAAGAGGCTTGCTACATTGTTCGTGCGCACGAAAAAATGTGTGTGAACTTATTATGTACGCACGCAATATACTTTAGCGTAACAAAAGAAAAATAACTTAAAATTTTACCCTTAAAGTATTACAGTAACAGCCTATAAATCCACTGCTTTTTTTATTTTTTTATTATTCAAAAATATGCAGGTTTCCTCACGATGTTTTCTTTCACCGCTGATACCGATAATAGGGCGTACAATAAAATACATTTTTTGATTTTATGTTCTGTTTTAAATTTGATTAATTTTTCATTCGTCTTATTTTACAACAGTTATATTTGTTTATTTGATTTGTTTATTTGATTTTGTTTTTTTACTGTAGTATGTATTCTTAAAAGTTTAATTTATTTTATTCTTTGTTAAATTTAGTTATGTTCCTTTTTCTGGTAAATAAATTTATTTTCTTTCTTCCTTTCTTTCATACACAAAGAAACTAGCAATCACCCCGACCGCCACCAAGATGCGCTAAATGATTGTAATTTCGGACTTTGCACGAAATAGTATCGCTACGCCAATTATGAGCGTACAGTGGTACACGTGAGCCAGTGCTCGCTACTGCCAAATTATCTTGCGATGACTATACTAAAAATATTTTACAGATATACAAACGCAGTTTTTTCTTAGAGCTGGTCTAAATAACTGAGCTGGTGGTAGTCTACTGTGGGGCTAGCAGCGACTACTGCTGCACGCATGGGCATCCTCCGGAGAAGTATCGACCTCACAGAAGACCGGCGTGAAGATGAAATGTGATGCTCTCGCGTTTCGTCTGTTCAATGAGGTAATGGTAGGTTATCTTTTTAATGGTTTGAATCTGCAACCCGTAATGTGTTGTAGGAGTCGATGCGCGGCAGTAATCACTTACCATCGGGTGAAACGCTCTCTCGCCAACGTTTCACCTAAAAGTAGTATGACATTCACGAGAGTATCAATTGAGCCTAAAGTTTAGACTTTAACTTCGATTTGGACAGCCATTCCCTATACTACAGTACAAACACATGTGGTTCATGATGTTAAGTGGAGCTATTCAGTAACAGCCTGTTCACTCTTGCCTTGTACAAACGCAAATTTCTTCGTTCGAAAGCGAGGAATATCTGGAACAAAATGATTCAGACTCTCGAATGTGGGTTAACCGCTCGAGAACGTTAATATAAAAGGCTAATGATTATATATATAGATAGATAGATATAACAGTGAATTATCTAAACGAGCCGTGGACACGAAACCGCTCTCTCGCAAATGGGGGAATCCCCCATTAATGCGGTAAAAAGAGCGTCCGAGTTTTGCAATAAATCCACGGCGTCTGGTTCACCCGCTCGCGCGGATTACGGGGATTAACCCGACGTGATATACACACCCCGGCAACAACGGCCGTATTTACGCCACGGCCTTTGGAATTATAACAGTTCTAAAAATCTCGAGATTAAACTGGAATTTATGGGATTTCTAACTTGAAAAAGAATAGGTCTGCCTTGCTTAGAAGAGCGTTTGTGTACATGTCTCCATTTTGTTTAATTTATTTATGGTTAAGCATAACTATTCAGCGAGAAAATGCAGCTAGCGTTCTTGGCACCATGCCGCGTGGATTAGGTTTATTAGATAACATGTAATTTTAGATAGATTTAATCTTTTAAATATTAGATCAATAAACTGTATGAACATTAAAAAAAATATTTATTCAGTGACAAATTTTGAATAAAAATGTAAAATTGCAAGCACAATTAGAATGAAATAGATGCTTAAAAGAAAAAAAAAACAATTTCTCTCGATCTACAGAGATTGATGTTCTAAAAGATGTATATAAATAATAAGACAATGTTATAATTTACTAA